TTTTTAGCTATGTTCATGATACCAAGCTGAAATTTTCTTTCCTAGTAATATCTTTATCAACTTTCATTATAATGATTGGCTTGCTACTTTAGTCAGCCTTTTGATGCTATGACCACAATATCCAATAAGAACAGTTCAGAGAAGGAAAAGTTTATTAGAGTCTCATGGTTTCAGAGGTACCAGGTCCATAGAAGCCAACTCTTATGCTCTTGGCTCAAGGTGAGGCAGCACATCATAGGGTTAAGTGCCCAGTGGAGGAAAACTCCTCAGCTTTTAGTGGTATAAGAAAGTGGAGAGGAGAAAGGGGCTGCAGGGAAGATGTACCCTTCCAGGGCATGCCCCCAGTGACCCAACTCCTCCAGCCACACCCCACCCGCCTATAGTTATCACTCAGTCCAATCAAATAAGGATGATTAGGTCACAACTTGCATAATCCAATCATTTTACATCTAAATATTGCTGCATTAGCAGGAGCTTTTAGGGGACAGTTCAAATCCAAACCATAACACTTGGCTTCATTGAATGGGTTGATAAGTATTTATTTTTATGTTCCAGAAGGATTTATATAAGAATTTTAATTTTTATTCCTTGAATGTTTTAAACAGTTCATTAGTGAATCCAGTTGGGCTTGGAGTTTTCTTACAGGTTTAATTTTTTTCATAGTTCTGAGAATAAAGTTTTTTTGTTTTGTTTCTTCTTTCAGTTTTAGTGAGTTGTGTTCTTCAGGTAATTTTTTTATTCTCTACTGCATTGAAGTAAAATTGATCATATAATCCTGAGAATCTTTTTAATGTCCATAGACTGTGTAATCTTTTTACGTCTGTAGACTTTCTAGTTATAACTCTTCTGTTTTTTCTTGATCAGTCTTGTTTAGGGATTACTCATTTTATTAGTCTTTCAAAGAATCAACTTTTGTCTTTCTTTGTTTCCTCTATTGTATATCTGCTATTTCATTATTAATTAAAAATTTTCTTTACATTTTCCTTGAATTAGTTTACTATTTTTTCTAGCTTGTTGTCGTGGAAACTTAGTATATTGATTTTTAAATTTGTGTTATTTCCAGTGTTATGCATTTATAGCTATGAATTTTGCTCTAAATAGTGCTTTAGGTGTATCCCACACATTTGTATCTGTTCTATTTTCAGTATCATTCAGATAAAAATATTTTCTCATTTCCATTGTGATATCATATATTTGATATGAGTAATTCAGAATTGTGTTTCTTGAGTTCTAGACATTGGGAACATATCTAGTTGTCTTCTAGTACTTGATTTTTTAGTGTGATTCTGTGATTGTTACAAAGTATGTAATTCATAGTTTAAATTCTTTGTATTTGTTGAGAGTTGCATTGTCTAGCATTTAATCTCTTTAATGTTTTATGTGAGCTTGAAAGAATGTGCATTCTCTAGTTGTTGGATTTAATGTTCTATTGGAATTTTTGAAATTGGAAAATTGTTTGTATCTATATATCATGATTGTTTTTGCTTATTCTACCAGTTACTGAGAAGGGTTTGTTAAAATTGTCAGCTGTGAGTATGGATTTATCTACTTTTCGTTCTTTCAAATTTTGCTTTATGTATTTTAAAAACCATTATTTGTTGCAGTACTGGGGATTGAATCCAGGGCCTCACATATTAGATGAGTGAGGGGCTTCCCAGTCCTTTATTTTGAGACAGGGTTCTCACTAAGTTGCCCAAGCTGCCCTTAAACTTGTGATCCTTCTGCCTCAGCCTCCTGAGGGGAGTAGCTGGGATTACAGGAATGTGCTACCATGCCTGGGTCCTTTCTTTTAAAAATACTTCTTTTGTCTCTGTCTCTATTTCAATATCTCTCATTTATTTCTGAGTCAACAATTTTGACATGTGAGACATTTTATTTAGTTACTTTTATGTTGTCTTGTACAGTTTTTCTCCTTTTTTCTTTTTATAGTTCAGTATAATTATTTTCTACTCTATTCCAGTTTACTAACCTCCCTTTAACCATGTCCATTTAACTCTATCTAGTGAGTTAATTTCAGATAATTTTCAGTCTTAGAATGAACATTTGTTTTTAACAGATTCCAATTCTCTTGTTGAAATTCTTCATCTTTTTATCTCTTTTTACTGATTTTCATATTTTTAAATCTATTTTTCTCTTTCATTTTATTGAATGTATAAATCATAAATGTTTTAAATTTAACTGAAATCTTATTACCAGTTTGTGTATCTCTCTTTCCCCTTGCTTTGCCCTGGCAAGTAATTACTTGTAATCCATCTGATCTTGGACAGGGCTTTCTTTCTATAGAGCAGAGGGTAGTTGGTTGCGCGTCCTGAAACTTTACTTATATGATGTATTCTAGAAAATTATGATTGTTGCCTTTTCTTCTTGTTGGACTGGTGTGGTTCTGTTTATAGCTTAGTACATCATAATAGAAGCTACATTATAAGTAATACAAGTAACAATAAGTGTTGGTGAGGATGTGGGGAGAAAGGTATTGTCATACATTGTTGGTGGGACTGCAAATTGGTGTAACCACTATGGAAAGCAGTATGGAGATTCCTTAGAAAGCTTGGATGCAGTTTTCCCACTCCTCTGTCTATACCAAAGGACCTAAAATGAGCATACTACAGTGACACAGCCACATCCATGTTTATAGTTAAAACTCACAATAGCCAAGCTATGGAAACAAGCTCGGTGTCCTTCAACAGATGAATGGATAAAGAAAATGTGGTATATAGAAACATGGGATATTACTCAACCATAAAGAAGAATGAAATTATGGCATTTACCAGGAAATGAATGAAACTAGAAAATATCATGCTAAGTGAAATAAACCAATCCCAGAAACCAAAGGCCAAAAATTCTCTCTGATTTGTGGATACTAACCCCAAACAAGGGAGGCCGAGGAGGGGAATAATAGAAATCCTTGGGACTAGACAAAGGGAAATAAAGGGAGGAATAGAAAAGGCTGTAGAATGAATTGGATATAACTTTCCTAGTCTTGTATTTGTATACATGACCAGGGTAACTCCGCATCATGTACAACCACAGAATGGAACCTAAATAGAATAAGTTATACTGTATGTATGAATATTCTGCCAAATATTAAAAAAAAAAAAAATAGACCCTGCAAATGCACCATGGCCATTTTAACATCCCTTCCTGGTAAGGCTCAAATCTGAATTTATTGTGTATCTCTCTGTTTTGCTTTTGTTTCCCCAATCCCCCCCCCCCCCCCCCTTTTTTGTTAAAGCATGACTCATAATGTTTACTTGATATAAGAAAATGTAGATGAAAATTTGCAGAGTCTGGGGAATGTTTTTTCCTCTAAAGAGAGCTAATTTTTCCTCTAGAACTTCTGATCTTGTCAAGGCTTCGTTTTAGACTTATTGGAGTTTTCTTTTCTTTTCTTTTTTTTTAATTTTTATTTGTCCTTCCTCCTAATATACTGCTTTTGTAGAGTCTGAGTTGAGGGCTCAGGGTTTTTAGTGCTCTTCTATCTTGGCAGGGCTTGTCAACTTCTGTCTTCTCAATGTTGCTAGACTGTTTTGTCTACTAGACTTTTTATTTAGTTTCTTATGGTTTTCTTGGTGTCTTTGACTACATACTTGTAAACTTGGGAAGCTGTTAATGATTTAAGAGGTTCTTTCTCTATAATTCTTTTTTTACACCAACTCCCTATCTGGTTTGATTAACCCTATGTATAATCTATACCTCCTCAGCCTGCTAAGATTATTTTATTATGCTTGGCTGTCTTTTCTATCATTGATTCAGAAATTTTTTTATATAAAATAATGATTAAATGTGGAATTTACTTTATTGGGCTTTCCTCCTTTCCAAGATTATAATCTTTGGGTGCCCAGCATCTCGGGAGGCTGAGGCAGGAGGATTTCAAGTTCAAAGCCAGCCTCAGCAACTTAGTGAGGCACTTAGCAACTCAGTGACATCCTGTCTCTAAATAAAATATATAAAAAAGGCTGGAGATGTGGCTCAGTGGTTGAGTGCACCTCTGGGTTCAATCCTTAGTACCAAAAAAATAAATTAAAAAAGGGTACAGGGGCAGGGGATGGGGTCCATACCTGTAATCCTAGTGGCTATGGAGACTGAGGCAGAAGGGTCATGCCTTCAATGCCAGCCTCAGCACCTCAGTGAGGCCCTAAACAACTCAGTAAGGCCCTGTCTCTAAATAAAATATGAAAAAGGGATGGGGATATGGCTCAGTGGTTAAGCACCCCTGGGTTCAATCCTTAGTACAAAAAAAAAAAAAAAAAAAAGATTGTAATCTTGGGAATCTCACTTGGATTGATTGCTTTCCTGTACCTTTGTACAAATAGTTTTATGTGTCGTCCAGCACACAGAATTGTTCTCATTGAGAGTGCTGGTTTAATGCTCTCTGCTCTATAGATTGGTACTGGAAATACCTTATTTCTTCTTCATCTTGCAGTTTTACTAAGCTTAGCACAGTTCTGTAGGTATTGATGCCAAGTAAATAATAGCTGTTGGAAATTTTTCTTGCTTTATATTGTGTTTAATAGTTAAAAATTATTTCATATATATAATTACCATCTATCAAAGAAGTTAAATAGCTCTAAGCCTTATTTTTATCTCCTGGAGTAAATTCAGGTGTTTGGTACATCATAAGAGATCTCTGAAAGCCATAGGAATGTAGGGTTGGTGCTAGCCACTTTAAATTGCTGCTTCTCTTCCTCTTCTTCCTCCTCCTCCTCCTTTTCCTCCTCCTCTTCTTCCTCCTCTTCCCCCTCCTTCCTCTTCTTCTCCTCCTCTTGTTCTTTTTAGTTATACATGACAGTAGAATCTATTTTGACATATTTATATAAACATGGAATATATCTTATTCTAATTAGGATCTCAGTCTTGTGGATATACATGATGTTGAGGTTTTAAGTTCTTTTAAGTAAGCCTAAAATCAAACACAATTTTTCTCCTCTTTGAATTGTGTTTATTGGAAAGATTTCATAGAAATGAAAATTCTTATCAGCATCTCTCGTTTTAATCTCTAGGAAGATGAAGTCCTCAGTACATTCTGAAGAGGATGATTTTGTTCCAGAACTGCATAGAAATGTTCACCCTCGAGAGCGGCCCGATTGGGAAGAAACACTTAGTGCAATGGTAAATCAGTTTTATACATATGTACACTGTACTTATACAAGTAAAAGGAAGTGGGGAAGCATACTCACAGAAGAAAGTGCAGTTTTTTTTTTTTGCTTGTTTATTCAGGAAATACTTTTTGAACAAATACTTGAATCAAGTAAAAGGAACTGGGGAAGTATACTCACAGAAGAAAGTGCAATTTTGGGGGGCTTGTTTATTTGTTCAGGAAATACTTTTTGAACAAATACTTGAATCCAGGCACTGCTCTAGATTCTGGGGAGAATAATAGGGTTATAGAGTGGTAGGATATAGTGTGAAAGAATATTGCTGGTTACATAGGGTGGCCACAGATTGCCTCTATGAGGAAGTAAGATTTGAGCAGAGGCCTGAAGGATGTAATGAAGTAAGTACTGTGTTATTTGGGATCACATCATTTTAAGCAATGGAAGAACAAGTTTAAGACTATGACATAGGATTAAAAAATAAGATGGAAGAAACACAAGTAACACAGTGTAACTGAAATTGAATGCTTCAGGGTAAGAAGAGGAGGAGATGAAGTTGAAGAAATGGTTTAAGTAGGTAGAAAGCAGATCCCGTGGTTTCTTGCAGTCCACTGATAAGGACTTCGTTGTGTATGCAGGATTTTAGTCAGTTTTCATGAAACCATAACCAAAATACCTGACAAGAACATCTTAAAGGAGGAAAAGTTTATTTGGGACTCATGCTTTCAGTCACTAGACTGCTGACTCCATTGCTTTGTGCCCAAGTTAAGGTAGCACATTGTGGGGGAAGGGCCTAGGAAAGGAGAGCTGCTCAGTTCCTGTGGGATCAGGAAGCAGAGAGGGAAGAGGCTGTAGGGAAGATGCACCCTTCCAGGGCATGCTGCTAGTGGCCCATTTCCTCTAGTCACATCCCACCTGCCTATAGTTACTACCAAGTCCATTCAAACTAGAATGGACTGACTAGGTTACAGCTCTTATAGTACAATCATTTGAACTCTGAATATTCCTTCAGTAACACCAAAGCTTTGGGAGGATACCTCATATCAAAAGTGTAACATTGAGTGAGATGGAAGCTACTGAGGATTTTGAGCTGAGGAGTAACATGATCTGGCTTGAAATTTTAAAGGAAATCTTAGTTTGCATTAAGTTCAGGGAGCAAAAGAAGAAGTAAGGAGACCACTTAGAAAAGTTGTTATCATAGGAGAGCAGAGTTGGTAACTTGAATCAGGATGGTAGTAAATATAGTTAGAGTTGTTTATTAGATTCTGCATATATTTTAATGGATAAAAACGTGAGCAAAGAAATATGAGATAAATAGATGTCAAGGATGACTTCAATTTTTTTTTGTTCTTATTAGAAGAATGGAATGTACATTTACTGAGTTGCTAGAAAAGTGGTTTTGTTGAAGACTTTTTGAAAAAGTCAACAGTGTTATTCCACAAGATATGTTTGAGCTATCTGTTTAATTTCTTAAAACTTTTTGCGATTTAGGTTTATTATTATTATTATTAATTTTTTTTTGTGGGAGAAGACATTTTACATAATTTTGGGTCAAAGTTAGTATCTCTGTCATCAAAATTTAATGTAAATGTTCATCTATCATGCTGATCTAAGAGACTTTTTATATTTCAATTTCTTTTCATTATGATAGGTTCTATAAATACTGATATCAGGTCATAAGCATATGATTTTAATTGAGCATTTTCATCACTTGGAAGGTATCTGTAGGGTTCTGTTTGAGTCTCTTCTTTGTATTTACCTTTTTTGCATTAATCACTTCCAATTGAAGGTTAAATGAAAACTCCTTGATTGAACTATTAACTGGAGTTTGCAATATTAAAATTTATTTTGTACTTGCACTGTGGTCTGAAAAATCCTACTGTGTCTGTAGTTAAGGTTGAAAAATATAATCACTGCAAATTTGTATGGGAATGAAAATTCTCCCTTCTTATTTTAACATTTGATAGCTTGGCAAGTATGTACAGTAGCTTGTGATTACTTATAATTCTAAGAATACTACTTGTCATTCAGATAACTTGATCACAGTATTTCTTATATATAAGCTATGTTTTACCCTGCAATTTTAGGTTAAGTTCAGTGGGAAATATAAAATCTGTAGCAAAAACTAGTTACCAACACACTTTAGTGTTCAGTAGTAGAAGTTAAAAATATGTCAAATTAAGCATTCATCTGCTCCACACAGATTTTTATCAAAATTAGTAATAATGTATCTTAGTAGATTTCAGTTCATGTTACACTGAATTCATGTTTTTTTCATGTTGTTTGTGAGTGTTCTCTTCTGTAGATGTACCATGTTCATAGGGGGCTAACTCTTCAACCACTTCACACTTAGCATTGCCTCCTCACTAACAACTGAACCTATTAAGAGTCAATGAAAACCATTTTAAATCATTTACCCTGTTTTTCTAGTTGGCTATTGATGTTACTACCAATGTTCTCAACCTTTTGAATAACTACTCTCACCAAAAGATTTATATCGTTAAACCAGTTTGTTTTTTCTGGATACATTTCTTTGACTACTGCTATAAAACATAATTCACCATTGGTAAATGGCTTTCCTTGCTTGACGATGAAATGTGTTACTTAGAAATTTGATTAGGTTATAATGTTATCATTTGGTGCTTTTGTGAAGAATTCTGCATGGTGATGTACTCTGTTTTAGAATTTTAAAAATTTTTCTGAGTGTTACTTTGAGTGGAGAATATTGTGATGAGTGCATAGTTTAGTAATGTTGATGTATCTATCTTCTATTCTTTTAGCATTCCTGGAATGTCACTTCATAATAAACACAGTGCTTTATCATCTAATTTGATAACAGGATAATTGATATTACTCTGTTCATTACAAGTGTGACATTTAAATTCCACTTATCTCTTCTTATTTTTACATGATGTGTTTGTATTATTAATTTTTTAAAATGTGGTACAGCAATACATGTGGAAACTGAAACATTCAGTTATGATTTAATACTGCAGTTTATAGTGTGTCAGGCAGCAGTGTAAATTAATGAGAATGACACATATGGTCTTTTTTGCACCTACTCATCTTTCTTATTATAGCATGAAAGTGGCCATAAATATACATTAAAAAATGAGCGTGACTGTGTTCCAATAAAACTTTATTTATGGGTACTTGATATTTGAGTTTCATGTAATTTTCACCTGCCACAAGATACTCATTCTTCTTTTGATCCCCCCCCCAAAACATTTGAAAATGTAAAACTACTTTTAGCTTTGAAAATGTAAAACTACTTTTAGCTTAGGGCTTTATGATGAGGACAGGCGGTGGGCTGTATTGCCCTAGTTATTTGGTCCCTTCTTTGTCATACATTGTAACTTAAGAGATAGGCTTAAATTGAAAGGCTTCCCTAAACCTTCTAGGGAGAAATTAGTTTTATTTTTCTTCTCATACTATGCTGTTCATATCTGTAATATAATACTTAACTCATTGTATTAGTATAATTAATCATGAATTTGTCCATCTTCCCACTGGCCCTTTGGGGAATGGTAGAGATCATTTTGTATTCATTTTATTTGGTTAAAAAGAGGATATAACCATGTCTTTTATACAAATATAGAATGAATACATGCCAAAGATATTTAACTCGTTAATTAATGAAGGAATCATTCAGGTGTTAAAACTGGTTCAGAGATCTAGAGCACCTTTTATAGATCTATGTGCTAAAATACATGCAAATGGATGCAAAACTGGTCAGTTCTGCTGAAAATAATTTGCATTTCTTATGTATAGAAATTACTTGGGTTATTTTTATCAGTTTTCTATAGTTCAACTTCCATCTCCACAGAGTTGTAAATAGTCAAAAGACAAACAAAATCCCATAACCCTTATTGATTCAGGTAATCCCGAAGCTGCCACCATTCCATGAAAGGATAGTCAGAATATTTTTTGCCCATTTAAACATATTTCACAATTTTTCTCTATAAATTTTATAACCTCTGCCAAATACACTGAATGAAAAGAAACTTCACACTATTTTTTATTTGGTGGTTTGTTCTCTTGTATTAAAATGCATGCAGTATGTGATATTGTTGAATTCCATACTGATTTATCTAAAGCAGCTATGGAAATTATTGTTTATATCAAGTTTTAATGCCTTGTTATCTTCTTATTTTTACATTGCAATTTCTTCATGTGTAAGCTCCTTGAGGAGCTGTCATCCTTCTTTCATTAAAGAAAAGAAGTATCACAATCAATAAAGAAAGCATTCTCAGGTTACAGAAAGTGTATAGGAAAGGATATAAATGAGATTATAAAGCACTATTTTACTAACGTATCTCTAGAAAGTTATGTTCATTTTAAACACTAAGTAATAGCAGAGAAAGTTTGGGACCATTCTGTGAATAATAACAAGTGAAATATCACTTTGAGAGAGAAATTAATTCTTTTTAAAAATATTTTTTGTTATACATGGGCATATATTTTTATTTTGTTTATTTATTTATTATGTGGTGCTGAGGATCAAACCCAGTGCCTCACATATGTGAGGCAAGCGCTTTGTCTCCGAGCCACAAGCCCAGCCCAAGAAATTATTTTTTATTTGGTGGTTTGTTTTTATTTATTTATTATGTGGTGCTGAGGATCAAACCCAGTGCCTCACATATGTGAGGCAAGTGCTCTGTCTCTGAGCCACAACCCCAGCCCAAGAAATTCATTATTAAGAGAAACTCACATAAAATGTTTCCCCAAAACAACTCCATGCAGCTATTTTTTGAGTGTAGCAAAGTTGGGCGTGGTGGGGCATGCCTGTAATCCCAGCTGTTTAGGAAGTTGAGGCAAGAGGTTCTCCAATTCAAAGCCAGCCTCAGCAACTTATTGAGGCCCTAATTTACTCAATGAGACCCTGTCTCTAAACAAAATACAAAAAAGGGCTGGGGATGTGGCTCAGTGGTAAGTGCCCCTGGATTTATTCCCCAGTACCAAATAAATAAATAAATACATAGGACTTAAACGTCAAATTTTTACTGCTTTGTATGT